GTTTTCATACGCGTTTGGCCAATCAATGTCTACTTACGTCACGGGTAGTACCAGTTGTGCTGGTTAGACCCTGCTCCGGAGTAGGAGCTAATTTGGTTCTCGAAAAAGGCAGTCTGGTACTAAAATTGCACACAGTTCCGGCGATGCGAAAACACCAAAAAGTGTGTAGTTCCACAATTAGTTCTGGTACTATGAAAAGGTTCCCGCGGTGCGAAAGGCCCTATTGAGGATCTTTCTGCTCCCCATTCTTTACCAGCTATTGCCCTCATAACATTTACATTTTCCTACACCTTTTCTCCACTTCTTCTATATGTTTTTTTTCCAAGTGTGAGGTTTAATGGTGTTTGGCAAACAAACGTGTGTGTCTTAGCGCCACCCGCTGGACTGGAGTGTGAAGCGTCGAGAAAATAATAGGGAAAATGAAACGGGCAAAATTACTTAGTGCGTGTACAAGGTGCACTGTGTTTTTCTTTAAAAAAGCCGATCTGCACAAATAAATGAAAAGACTCGCATGGTATTTGATCAGCATCAACAGTTTTCGTGAGTGAGGATTAGGACTTAGTGCGTGTACAAGGTGCACTGTGTTTTTCTTTAAAAAAGCCGATCTGCACAAATAAATGAAAAGACTCGCATTGTATTTGATCAGCATCAACAGTTTTCGTGAGTGAGGATTAGAAGAGAAAAACGAGTGAATTATTAGTCAAATATTTCAGGGAAAATCACACAACATTGCAGCATGTAAATATGGAAATTAAGATAAATGAAAACATGTGATAATCATAAGATGTAGCCTAGTTAAAAAAAAAAAAAAAGCATTAAAGCATTAAAAACAACATCCTTAGGTTATGTGTCCATCTAAATATCTGGGACTTAAGACATAACTGACTGTGTTTACAAGGATATTTTGATACAGGATAGTTTTGTCCTTTTAAATTAAAAAAGACACACCCACACAGCAATTGTTTTCTGGCCCAGCTCCGGTCCACACAACCAGTTTTCCCTTGTCCCACAAAGAAGGACGGCCCTGGAGTGGCCCTCTGTAACCTATTACATTTCCAAAGTAATCTTCCCAACACTGCCTATTAGTGTTAAAATAGTAAAGTGTACCCTTAGGGCAGTAATATGGACTTTTATGGTACTTGCATGCACCCTTTAGAAACAAAGTTGTCCCTTTGATACAGTCCCAGTGACAAGCTGTTGTACTCCTACAATTTTCCCACTTTTTTCAAAGAGCACAAGAGCAAACTCCGTAACCAGTGTTGGGCAAGCTACTTCCAAAATGTTATACATTGTATATTACTTATTACTGTATTTTGAAAGTAATTAGTTACATTACAATATTACTGTCTCTGAATTGTAATGCGTTACACTACATTTGAGTTACTTTTGAGTTACTTTCACTTTCAAGCACAAACTGCAATTACATTCAGAAATTATAGCGGTAAATAAAGCGGAATGTTATAAGCCCTAATGTACAAACAATAAACACAACAGCAAGCCTATAGGCTATTTTAGTTCTCCTCACTCCACAACACATCCTTTAAATTGAACGGTATTCAGAACAAAACGAATGAAAAATATAAGTTGCTAAACAAGTCAAAATGAATTAATTTAACTCGAAACTGAAAGGTTTTCTGGCCCAGCTCCGGTCCACACAACCAGTTTTCCCTGTTTTTCCCATGTTGTGTCAGGTGATTTTTTTTTTTCTCACAGCAGCTAATAGAGAAAAATACAAAATTAATAAATACAAGCATTCATCCAACTACTGTAAAATATTTAGGTTAAAACTTTACAATAAGTTAGCTTCTGTTACATTTTACACAGGAAATGATTCCTTATGAGACTATTGAATGCTTCGTCTGACAGCAAGTATTTAGAGAACAAAAAACCTGAACAATGTTGAGATTTGGAAACCATGGTGCAAACCACTTATTATGACATTATTTAATCTTAAGAAATACAACCGTTTGTACAAATGTATGTAGATTTCATTAGTATATACATTTTAAAAAGTGTATTACAATACACTTGTAAAACTAGTGTTTCACAGTAAGACTTATAATGGGTTATTAGAATTTGGAAGTTTTGCCCCGAAAGTGTTTCTACTGTACAATATTAACTAAATATATTTGTTAAATCAGATGTGGTCATGACTTATGTTTACTACAGTCTTACTGAGAACAATGTTCCTTAGCAGCAAGCTTTTAAAGCTGATTTTCCCATTTACACCCCTCACATTTATATTCGTGGCCAGCGAATTCGTTATTGTTGCTGCCATTATTCTCCACATTATTCTCTTGGTGTCTGTCCCACCTTTCATTGCCAACTTGCATATCTGTGAATTAACATTTTATTAGTCATTCATTGTTACAGAAAACAGCAATTATCCAATAAGAATAAGAACAGAGATAAATATGAAATCAATAAGCCACAAGAATCAGCAAGCCTATAGGCTATTTTAGTTCTCCTCACTCCACAACACATCCTTTAAATTGAACGGTATTCAGAACAAAACGAATGAAAAATATAAGTTGCTAAACAAGTCAAAATGAATTAATTTAACTCGAAACTGAAAGCAAACGCATTAATTCTCACGCAGCCTACCTCACTCATTCGGCACGAATCCAAAATTTGTCCATATATTATTATATAAACCAGGCTTTGCACTTAACGTGGATTGTACTATGGACTATTTTAATTAACAAATGTATCTATATGTTTTGTTGACTGTATATTATTCTGATAATGAACAGGCTGCAGTGTTTGCAATGCTGTATTGTGCATGCGTGAGATCATACATATCATTCTTCACAGCAGCAGATCTCAGTTCAGATGATACTCCTCCAGATATTCCTGCTTACTAGAAACGACTGTGAGGATCAGAATATTACAGGTATTTACTGACCTAATTCAAAAACTATTTTTTTATTTACAGAAGGTGCATTTCTTACAGTTTGTATTAAGTCAGCATCACGGTGAAACTAATCTTCTTCCTCTGAGGTTTAACGGTTCTTCTTCTTCTTGGTTTTATGGCCAGTTGCAATCTTTGAGCATACCGCCACCTACTGTGCTGTTACTTTGTGTATTTTGTGTACTTCCTTAAAATCTTCCAGATATATGCCTATATACATTATGTTTGAGTATATGTTTACTACAGTCTTACTGAGAACAATGTTCCTTAGCAGCAAGCTTTTAAAGCTGATTTTCCCATTTACACCCCTCACATTTATATTCGTGGCCAGCGAATTCGTTATTGTTGCTGCCATTATTCTCCACATTATTCTCTTGGTGTCTGTCCCACCTTTCATTGCCAACTTGCATATCTGTGAATTAACATTTTATTAGTCATTCATTGTTACAGAAAACAGCAATTATCCAATAAGAATAAGAACAGAGATAAATATGAAATCAATAAGCCACAAGAATCCAGGTAATACAGAGTGCATAGCATAAATGAGTAATAATAATAATAATTAACAAACTGTTAATGTAGGCAGCAGGACTGAATGCAATTGCTAAATAACTGTTTAAAAAGTGACATAATAATGTAGCATTACTGCTTAGCTAAAAAATGGAAGTTGAAAATTAAACTGTTAAAGCATGAAATAATGTGGGTGTATTGTTAGTAAAGTAATCATTAAACATGTAATCATTCAAAAAAGTACCAGCCATTTATATTAATGTGACTCAGAGATGAAGGCCATAATACTAATTTTGTCCACACGAGGGAGCCACATAATATCAAATCCTTCAAGATCTCAGTTTAAAGACTGTGAAAATTGTTCAATAAATCGACTTGTAGTAAAAAAAAATTGCATATAAATATGGGGTTCCAATTGTGCTAAAAATGCTTTGTACTATACATTTGTCTTTGTCTACAGTAATTGTGTACTTGTTCAGGTAAATCAGTATATGTTGACGTGTATGTTGTCTGTTGACGTCGTCTTAATCTGCCGTCCTGCCGGCTTTTTCTCTGTCGTTTTTGCTGTCGCCCTTATTGTCGTGTTGTTCTGTGATCTAATTCTGTCGTCTTGTTCTGCTGTCTGTAATGTCATCCTTACTTTTCTGTCGTCCTTACCAGGGCAGTTTCTAGCTATTTTGAGGCAAATATTTTCTATCATTATTAATTGTATGTCATGTTTTATGTCATATTCTTAACATTCCATTGAGTGTATTATTAACATAATAAATAAAGATCTCAGTTCAGATGATACTCCTCCAGATATTCCTGCTTACTAGAAACGACTGTGAGGATCAGAATATTACAGGTATTTACTGACCTAATTCAAAAACTATTTTTTTATTTACAGAAGGTGCATTTCTTACAGTTTGTATTAAGTCAGCATCACGGTGAAACTAATCTTCTTCCTCTGAGGTTTAACGGTTCTTCTTCTTCTTGGTTTTATGGCCAGTTGCAATCTTTGAGCATACCGCCACCTACTGTGCTGTTACTTTGTGTATTTTGTGTACTTCCTTAAAATCTTCCAGATATATGCCTATATACATTATGTTTGAGTATTCCCATTTCCTCCCATTCCTTTCTCTTGTCCAAAATCTCAAGATCAATTTTTACTTCAGGTATTATCCATATGGGCACTTAACTCCATACTGGAGAAATACTACATACTATAGGCTACCAGATATCTGGTGTTTTTTTTTTGTTTTGTTTTTTGCTAACTCGTTTATATCCCACCAAAATCCTCTTCCGTTTTTACTCACATACTCGCAGCAGTCTTTTGGAACATCTTTAGCAATATTGTCTCCAGCATAACTTTTAATAAATGTCCAATATGCCAATGACAATTTTACTCAAATTGACGCAAATTCAGAGGCAATTCATGCGATTCAACGATTAAAGCATTTACCGGTGTTGATTTGACTGCTCCTAAACACATTCTAAGTGCTCTGTATTGTATTCTATCTAGCTTCTTTAGCAATGTCTCTGACGCCGCACCATATATCATGCAGCCATAATCAAATACAGATCTAATCAAAGCTTGATACACTTTCATCATTGAAGATCTTTCTGCTCCCCATTCTTTACCAGCTATTGCCCTCATAACATTTAAAGTTTTCCTACACTTTTTCTCCACTTCTTCTATATGTTTTTTCCAAGTGTACCTGCTATCCAGCCAGATACCTAAATATTTGAATTCTTTGACTTGTTCTAGCGGTTTGCCATATATTGGTAATACAATATCATTTGGAATTTATTTTCTTCTACTGAACATCATATAACATGACTTACTACTTGATATTTTAAATCTCCAATCTATATTCCATCTTTCAACCTTTTTAATAGCAGATTGAATGCTTGAAAGAACTTGGGTCATGTTTCGTACTCTCTTCCATATAGCTATTATTAATTGTATGACATGTTTTATGTCATATTCTTAACATTCCATTGAGTGTATTATTAACATAATAAATAAAGCAATAAATGATGGCATATTGAAGTGATACTTGTAGATTTAAAAATAAATCCGCGAATAGGTGGCGTCAAGTCGCTGTCTTAATGAGTCAGGCGTCACGTCATTCATTTATTCATTCATTCATTCATTCAGTAACAAAGCAAAATGCTGTAGTTATGAATGGGTTATTAATCATTGACTCTCCAAATCGTTCAAAGCCGCAGATTCGTTCACTAACGAAACACCGCTGTATGTTGCTTGGAGACTCACACCAGATGATACGGATTTCGTTGGAACTATTATTTCGTGGCAAAATAAAACACAAACATGACAATATTTAGTTTAAAAGGCTACATTTATGTTCATTTAATATTACCTTTTTTTGTTGAACTGTTGTAAAAATTGTCACATTTGCCATCGTTTGGATATTCAGAGAAATTTGCATTATTGCTCATATTTTAAACATGAAAACACTAACATGAAAACACTAACACGCAGAGTATGTTTGTATCGAAGGGAGTTTAAATCGATCTCAATGTACAGTGCGTGTCAATATTTGCTCTTCATGCTATTAAGTTAAGATCTACTTATTGAACAGCAGCACGATTTGCTAAAGCAGCACATTCAGCGGGCATCCTAACAAATGCACGTTGTGTGGATGCAGTCAGTTTTGACCGCAAAAGATGAGGTAATCTGATTGGATATCATGTATTTGACCGTTTACAGCACTCCCATGTTCCTGTTTTTACATTAGAAGCGGCATTTTGCTTGTCAGAAATACATGTTTGGTTTTAATGTTACTTTAAGTTGGGGTAGGATTAAATGAATGCCAAAATTTAGAATTGTGTTCACGTACCCCAGTTTGAGAAGCACTGCCCTAGGCTAAATTCATGTTGGAGGCCCCCGTTAAAATCACAGACTTTTGATTAACCCAGTTACTAATATTGTGTAATTCTATTATATATTATGCTATTTACTCAATATGGTATTATCTTACTTAAAATATGATGAATGGTCATGAAAGTAATCAATATACTGATTAATATGCTTGAGTTATTCCAATACTGGATGTCCTAATGTAGAATGTAAGTCTGAGGACCTATCCATTGGGCAATACTGGTGATTTCCATTGGATTGTACCAAGTGAACTTAAATAACCCAATGAACTCTGGGTTATTCCCAGAAGTTAACAGGAACAAGTAAACAGATTTGATGAATGCCTCATGTGACCACCTTATTGGCAGCAGAATGAAGGTGGCTGATCTGTCCAAATTCCACCATTAATAAAAATGGCCTTGGGAGTAAAAGTGGCTGATCTGGCAAATTCCACTGATAAGCATATCTGAGCACATGAGGTCATTTAAGATGTGACATCAGCACAAGTGCGTTTTAGTCACCATAATGTCCTTGACTTGGACAGTCAGTGCTCAAGATTTAGTCATTGTGGCAAACCAGATAGGCATAGCCAATAATAAAAACCGGAACTACCAACTTTGGTGAGAGAAAAAAGTATAAAACGGATGAGCTGACAGACAGAGACTTCAGATGCGGTTACCGTTATCTCGGCTTTGTTACTTTGTTGAATAAAGTCTGATTTTGACATCTGGAATTCTGCTTCTCGAGCTTCATTGACTACACCGAAGAAAATTACACAACACTAACACTACAAATATGGGGCCTGACACCATCCTACATTTGATCTTATGATCATTTCTCAATTGTGTGCACAGGTGATTCAGAGAATGAACGTACGCACAAAAAACATGCGCACACCTCTTTCAAATTTGAAATGTATAAATTTATTGTGAGCAGTTAATGTTTCTGAAAGATGTCTCTTCTGCTCACCAAGGCTGCATTTATTTGAAAAAAATAAAACAAATAAAGTCATATTTAGTAATATTTTAAAATATTGTTGTTATTTAAAATAGCTATTTTCTACGTGAATATATTGTAAGACGTAATTTATTGCTGTAATCAAAGTAGGCATGTTGCTTCATATATTTGTGGACACAGCAGTTTAAAAGTTTTTTTAGGACATTAATATGTTTATTCAGCTAGGATGCATTAGATTGATCAAAAGTGACAGTAAATAAATGCATAATATAACAAAAGATTTATGACATTTTAAGCCTTTTTTTTTTTACTTTTTTGAACTTTGTATTCATCAGTGAATCTTGAAAAAACTGTATCAGGCTTTACACAAAAATATTAGGACAGTATGAAAGAGAGAGAAAGAGAGAAAATACTCCAAGTCAGTTCCTTCTTTTGTGTTTATTCTGTTTAGGCAGTGTGATTACAACATAGTAATAACTTACATTTTCAACAACAAATGCAGAGCTTCAGAACCTATATCGGTTCTGCATGTTGGTAATCAAACATATAAACATAAAAATTGTTTTTGTTATTCAAAAAAAGGACAGAAGCATGCTGAACTTCATTATGCTCATAATGTCAAAAAGAGCTTTTCAAGAATAGTACATCAAAAAAAGAATAAATGACAAATATAACAATACGATGGCACTTTTCTCATATTTATGAGAGTGTGTACAGCACAACTGTCCTCTTCATCAATCAACCCTGAGGCTTACTGTTCAATCACTCTTTAGGAAGTGAGGAAAAGGGAGAAAGGAATGAGGGAGAATGTGAGAGAAAGGAGGAATAAGAGGAGGTTGGGCACGCTTCCGAGGTTGGAGTTGGATGTTTGACTGAATTCAACAAATCCAGGCAGGTTGCTGCCAGTGTTAGACTTGATCCAGTCCTGATACTGAGAGACTCTGGAGTACACACCAGGATATCTGGGGTCAGCGCATCCTTCACCAAAACTCACAACGCCGGACTGAATCCACAGGGAGCCGTTCTTGCTGACCATTCGACCTCCAGAGTCTCCCTGTATTGACAAATATTCAGCATTTATATCTCTGACAATATACAGTGAACAACTGTTATAGATATAAGTATGCAATAGTGTAGCCCGATGGTAAAAAGTATGCCAGCCGTGTGTCCACCAAAGCGTTTCTTTTCCTGAGGCCAGCGTACCTTTTTCAGTTGTTTGCAGTGGGAGCGCTGAGCATTTTTCTCTTGTCACCAAGAGTTGAAATATGTTCAGTTTTGGGAAAACCAAGCATGCTAAAAATGAAGCTAAAACATTTTGATCATATTCCCCTGGTTGCTGGCTGCAGTTAAGGTCCCCATCCACTCCATGTAAATAAATGGGAATGCGAAAAAAAAAAATCTAATTACACTTCAAATATTTTTTTTCTTCCCAAAAATGGTTTCTGTCATTTTAGGTATTTCCTTTATCAGGCTGATGTATGTGTAAATATTTGTTTTTCTATTAAGTTTGCTTGTAGTTTGTTATTTGATGCTATAATAACAGGTTGTGGCGTCATGATTGTGTGCTTGTGATCTGAGGGAGTTTAGGGCGGGACTTTGATACCGCGGCTCCTCCTCGTGATCACTATAGTGTATACTATAGTATAATAAAGTATACTGCACAGACTTGGGCTCCAAATAACGTCATCAGCACAAGACGACAGCGGCCACTGATACAAACTATAAAAATATACAAAATATAAATAAAATATAAATCGTGATGTTTGTTTTTTCACTGTAGCCTTCACAAATAATGTTCACCCCCTAATGATTATGGGTGTTCAGCTATAACAGCATTTAGCAGTTATCTGCAGCGTTGTGTTTTTTTCCTCAGCCTTAATGAGATGTAGCACTGCAAGCTGTCATGTATACTGCACAGACTTGGGCTCCAAATACCGTCATCAGCACAAGACGACAGCGGCCATTTCTGGGACATTTTGGCTTAATTTTTCTACAGTGAAAGGAAGTGGTGATGCGTCGTCCATCTTTTTTTACAGTCTATGTGTAAAACGCAGCATTCATTCACTGATACAAACTATAAAAATATACAAAATATAAATAAAATATAAATCGTGATGTTTGTTTTTTCACTGTAGCCTTCACAAATAATGTTCACCCCCTAATGATTATGGGTGTTCAGCTATAACAGCATTTAGCAGTTATCTGCAGCGTTGTGTTTTTTTCCTCAGCCTTAATGAGATGTAGCACTGCAAGCTGTCATGGAGATTGCGCATCTTTAGCTCCGCTTTTTGCTCTTTCAATCGCATAAATTATGCGTTTACATTCCATCTCCTTTATCATGAAACCCATTAGCTCCAATCACAGCGTCCTCCATCCACCGGTTGTTGACGTCTGTAAATGCCGCACTTAAAGACACCACTATAGGACTTACTGCTGTTCGAATGCAACCAGAAAAATGGCCCGGGTGGAAAATTAGTTCTCCGGGAACTACCATGGTGGCTAGTTCCTAGAACTGAGTTCCTAGATCTATGCGGTGCGAAAGCTCCTATGGACAGCCAGCCATTGTGCATTCTGCGCAATTCTTTTTTTTTTTTTGATTGGACAGCAACATTGTTAATACTTTGCCAAAGATAGTTTGTGCATCTTATTGGCATTGTGCTATGTATTATGAGTGCTGCTAAAACAAGAAGGTGACATGTGACTACAAAACTTGTTGTGTATTATGAGCACCATGCCGGTTCATGTAGTCTCGTAGTCCTGTAGTGTGAGCTTGCCCGATCTAGCAAGTGGTACCAAGTGGTAATCAGTCTTATTTTTCATATTCAGATTAGTCCTATCTATGTTTTTATGTAACTGACTTTAAAAAAGTTATGAACAGTCTTACAGAAAAATATTAGAAGACTAACTTTTATTATAAGACTAGTCTTATGCAACTGGTCACAGGTGTAGTATCAAAAAGCAGTCGTAGAGTAAGAGTTCATGATCAGTGCATTAAAGACGGGGCTTAATGAAGAAATTAGACTGGCAGTGGGAAGTTTACAGATGACAAAACTGGTGAACTTTGGATTAAAAAGGGTTCAAATGAATGACTGATGTCTTACCTTACATGAATCTTTTCCTCCCTGATTTAACAATCCAGCACAAATCATACTGCTTGTGATTGTGTACATCCCTTCATAAGCATTAGCACAGGCACTGTTGTTCACAATTGGTATCATCACCTCCTGCAGTATGTCAGGAAACTGGGTGCCTGTGACAGATCAGAGGACAAATTGTATGGTTTTTAAAAACCATTTCTAGGTCAACTGTTGAGGTTTACAGTAATTTTGCATTCAGTTAACTGGCAAGCAAATATTCACTAACCATCAGGTAGCAGCGAACCCCATCCAGTGACCCAGCTCTCCGTGCCTCCACCAAATACACTCCCAGCCGCTGCCAGACAGACCGGCTTAATGTAATCAGAGAAAGTCACAGAGGAGGAGAGCTCAATCAGTGCTATGTCGTTGTCTTTAGAAAGACTATCATAGTCAGGATGGTTGATGATTTGTCTCGCTGTCCTGTTTGTCTCAAAAGGGTTTGAGCCGGATTGACTCAGACGACCGAAGTACATCAGAGTTTCAGGCACACCGACACTGTAAATATAGAAAGTGTGCTTTAATCCCACTATTATCAATCTGCAAATGTATCTTAAGCTTTATTTAAGCATTAAACTTCATACCTCTGGAAGCAGTGCGCTGCAGATAAAACCCAGTCTTTATTGATGAGAGTCCCGCCACAGTTATGGCCTTTGTTGATGACATGAATGCTGACCTGCCACGGCCAAGCCCCTGCTTTCGCATCCCCCCCTCCAACAATCCTGTAATTGAGAGGGGCTCGACCACATACTGATGAGAGAAAGCAAGATATGAGATTTCCTTCTTAAAGTGCCTCTCAGACATTCTGTGAGTTTTATTATCTTTATGACAACTTACCATCTAACTGGCAGAGCGAACCTGTGTGGAAAGACAAAGACAAAGACTATCATTCAGACAGAGATGATAAACTGGTTTGTGTAGCTCACCTGTTACAGTACATCAGTGCTGGTGCATAATGGCATGAAAACAAGATTGAATCTTTCACCTAAACAATGTTGTTTCTGGCTTTAGCCAAAATACCTGTTAAATGATTTCACATTCATGACATGAATGAAGTAACTAATGGCGCTTTTCCACTGCATGGTACGGCACGGTACGGCTCCGCACGGGTCACTATGTCTCTTGTATGATAACATTGTGGAGTCTCTTCTTACTTCAAAAAGGTCTCTGCGTAAGACTAAGATGTATAACTCTAAGCCGGGTTGGAATAAATACGTAAAAGAGTTTCATGCTGAGGCTAGAAAGGCTTGTAAAGCTTGGGTTGAGTCAGGCAGACATAAATATGGTCCTTTATTTGAATATAAGCAAACGGGCAAATGCAAATTTTAAGTATGCATTACGTTTCATCAAGAGGAATGAAAATAAAATGAGATCTGACTCTCTTGCGAAGAAACTGCAAAATAATAATCTAAATGATTTTTGGAAAGAAATAAAACGAATGAACAATTGTAAAACATCTTTACCAACAAATATAAGTGGGGTAAGCGGGTCAGAGGAGATTACTCAAATGTGGCAAAAGCATTATTATGAGCTGTTTAACTGTGTTAAGAGTAACTCATTTGTAGTGCGCAACATTGATAATGATGAAGTTGTGAATGTCTCCCCGCAATAAGTTTATGATGCAGTCATGATGCTAAAAGATAATAAGGCATGTGGTATGGATATGATATCTGCTGAACATTTAAAATTTGCAAGTAGAAAATTATATCCTTTGCTTGCTGTTTGTTTTACTGGGTTTTTAGTTCATGGTATTTTGCCAGATTCTATCTTATCTGTTATGTTAGTGCATATCATTAAAGACAGAGCTGGTAAAATAAATAGCATGGATAATTACCGGCCTATAGCCTTGACCAGTACTTTATCTAAGGTTATTGAAAGGATTTTATTGAATAAGATGGAACATTTTGTCCTGACTTCTGATGGTTTTAAACCGAAACATGGAAAAGCGCCAAAACCTAAATCAGTTTAGTTTTACATGCAGTGTGTAAGTGTTTGTGAATGAGATACTTCTGTGTTTCTATCGGGTTATTTCTGGTGTTTTAAAATGGCCATAAACATTTAGTGAGGGTTACTGAATATAAAATAATCGTGTTCTTCTCTTTGTGTGTGTTTTCAAACAATGTGTGAATATAGTTTGCTCAAGTATTTTACAGTATATTACAAGTATTTTGCTTTGTAACAGTTTGGACAGTTATCATTCTTTATAAGTATAACTATTTCCCACATTTGATTGATAAGCTACCACTAAATATTGTAGAAACTTAATTTGCTGTGAAGTTGCTATACGTAAAAGAGTTTCATGCTGAGGCTAGAAAGGCTTGTAAAGCTTGGGTTGAGTCAGGCAGACATAAATATGGTCCTTTATTTGAATATAAGCAAACGGGCAAATGCAAATTTTAAGTATGCATTACGTTTCATCAAGAGGAATGAAAATAAAATGAGATCTGACTCTCTTGCGAAGAAACTGCAAAATAATAATCTAAATGATTTTTGGAAAGAAATAAAACGAATGAACAATTGTAAAACATCTTTACCAACAAATATAAGTGGGGTAAGCGGGTCAGAGGAGATTACTCAAATGTGGCAAAAGCATTATTATGAGCTGTTTAACTGTGTTAAGAGTAACTCATTTGTAGTGCGCAACATTGATAATGATGAAGTTGTGAATGTCTCCCCGCAATAAGTTTATGATGCAGTCATGATGCTAAAAGATAATAAGGCATGTGGTATGGATATGATGCTGAACATTTAAAATGCTGGATCTGCTGAACATTTAAAATTTGCAAGTAAAAAATTATATCCTTTGCTTGCTGTTTGTTTTACTGGGTTTTTAGTTCATGGTATTTTGCCAGATTCTATCTTATCTGTTATGTTAGTGCATATTATTAAAGACAGTGCTGGTAAAATAAATAGCATGGATAATTACCGGCCTATAGCCTTGGCCAGTACTTTATCCAAGGTTATTGAAAGGATTTTATTGAATAAGATGGAACATTTTGTCCTGACTTCTGATAACCAGTTTGGTTTTAATACCGAAACATGGCACTGATGTGTGTTTTTTTGCTCTAAAGGAGATTTTAGATTTTTATAACCGGCATAATTCCACAATTTTTATGTGTTTTATTGATGCTTCTAAAGCCTTTGATCGTGTAAATCATGAAAAATTATTTTTTAAGTTATACAATAGAGGAGAATTTTGGCTTTTTGGTCTGCTCATCATTTAATGTATGTAAAATGAGGACCATTTTGTCCTGACTTCTGATTACCAGTTTGGTTTTAAAACGAAACATGGCACTGATATGTGTATTTTTGCTCTAAAGGAGATTTTAGATTTTTATAACAGCCATAATTCCACAATTTTTATTGGTCTTCAACAGTTAATGAGGATTTGTTCTCGATATGGTTCAGATTTTAATATTAAATATAATGCCAAAAAGAGTAATGTTATGATTGTTAGGAGTAGGGAGGACAGGAAAGAAGACATTTCCTGACTTCTCTCTGTCTGTCCTTAAAGGGGTCATATGATGCAATTTCAATTTTTCCTTTCTCTTTGGAGTGTTACAAGCT